ATATAAAATCCCGGTTAATCAGTTAACCGGTTAAACGTTACGTTTAACCGGTTAACAGTTAAATGGGATCCCACGGGTGATGGGCCCCACTGGTGCACTGCGCTTAACTAGGCTGGAGCAGCCCCCCAACCTGCATCGGGAGGGGGTGTGCTCCAGTCCAGCTGGGCTGCCAGTTCACCAGTAACTGGTAAGCATCACCCGGTAAGAATGATGCTTACCGGTTAACCCGCTGACATCCCTAATCAGGCTAGCAAGGTAAGAAGGGCTGCATTTTGGGTGGGGCGCATTTGGTTTTTTTTCAGAGGAGGACCCGTGAGAAGTCATGCGCATAGCAGAACAGCTTCCTGCTTTTCACTCGCCGTATCAGCGATGTTTATAAATACTTGCCCCTGCCTCCCCTGCTGAAGAACACCACTGTCTGAATCAGCACTTTGGAAACCCCCAGCTCATCAGCGCTGGCCTTCAGTCTGTGAAATCTGGCTGGAGCCAGGGCCATAGGGGCAGCAGAGGAACAGCATAAGTTATTCAGCCACACAAACTGGGGAACCCCTTCAGCGATCGGCAGAAAACCGACTCAATGGGAATAGAATTGAGAGCACAGACGGCAGCCAGCAGATAAACTTCTTGAGACTCTGGGATAAGGATTAAATAGTATGAAAAAAAAAAAAGTCCAAGAGTCTCTCTCATGCTAAGATGCCTTTAAATGGGTAAAAGGCCATTTTTCAACCGTGGCAAAGCAGAGTCAATCCGAATCATACCCTTTGACTCAATAAAAAACAGAGGTAATAGTATGAGCTTTGAATAGGCCACATCAGGAGTAACAGCTGTAATCTGAATCACCCTTGTGTTACACAGCTGTTATAAGGACCAGCTACACAAAAGGAGGCAACTAGTCCAACACAAGGACTTACAGATACCATCTACATGTTTTGTTAGTCTTTAAAGTGCTACCAGACTATTTATTGCTTTTTAAGTTTTTACAGATACCAGTCACTCAGGACAATTTCCAAAGAAGGCTTCCTGTGTGGCATGCACAGATATCTACGTGACGACAGTGGTGTAAGCAATTCAGCCAGTGGTGGGCAAACAATATCATGCGCCTCTTTAGAGCCAAATCAGCATATTATAATAGTATGGGGGGCAGCCAGAGAATTTCCTGATAGCTATTATTTGGTATCCAAATTGCAGCGTGCTCAGCTGGCCTCAGAAGAATAACAAATACTTTATGTCTTTGGTGTCTCTGAAGAGGATATTTGGCTCTTGGTTATACAGGGATACGAATGAGTTGAGAGGAAAACAACAGAATAGTTATAAAGGATAAAGCCCAAATATTCACTCCAACTTATTCACCCCAGAGTGTGATTGCAGTGCGTAGTTAATGATCTGTTCTGGAGTGAGGAGTTTTTTGTTGTTCTAAACTAATAATTATACATGCGATATTACTGTAAAATTACCCAGGGACTGTGCAATAAGCATCAAGGAAAATAATTTGCTATCACAGAGGTAAGAGGCCATGTTCATGATACACAGCTTCTTAATCAGCCTTTTCAGGCCTTTCCACCCTAGCCATAGTCAGCAACTTTTTCTTGTTTTGAGAGAAAAAGGGATACGTTCGTATATTTCATTTGAAACCTCTTTGCCTTTATATCAGACGTTAACGGCTCACAAAGAAAAATTCATATTGAAACTCCTCTTATTTTTCTGGTCACAAACCACATATTAAAAATACAGCTCTTTGCCCAATTGTGGTTTGAAGGGAGGGAGACGCCTTTTTTCAACTCTCTTGGTGAAGTACTTGCAAAGGATGTCAATAGCAAAGCCTCCTTTACTTTACTATTCAGTCTAAGTTCCCAGCAACACTCACTCTGTAATCGTAAGTTGAGTCAGGGTTCTCCTCGCAAGCTATGACTTCGGGCGCCATCCAATAAGGAGTTCCAATGAACGTATTTCTTCTCCCAATCGTCCTATCCAGTTGAGCGCTTACCCCAAAATCCACTGCAAAGTTAAGCAAGTGCAAAGTAATGAGCCAAGTGCTGAATTAATATGACAAAATGTGTAATGGGTTATGGCCTTTGCTTGGAAAGCAAACTTCAGGGTTGCAATGCATCACCGATTTGAGCTCTCCTAACACAAAGTTTGCAACAGAGGTGCTGCGAATTAACTGATGTCTGCTATCTAGATCACAGGCCAAAAATAAAATGTAAAAGTAACATGATCAAAAATCCATGCTAAGTTTGCCAGAATGGCTACTATACAGATGTGTTCTCATGATAAAAATAAACACCGAACTTTTACCTAATACTTTTCATTGCTGTCAAAGTGCTTTATATTATGATACTATGGAATTTTAACATACTTGGACTAGGCACCACACTGGAAAGAGGTAAAGATTTTCAAATGGTATTTTAATTTAAAACAAAAACCCCACAAATAAATGTTCAGGTATGACCGGGAGACTTCTTATCCAGTTTTAATAACCAGCAGTAATACCAGGTCAGCACTTTGCTGCAGAAATGGATTGCTTTGTTCTGAATGGTTTCACAGACTTTTTTGCTGCACTCTTATCTCAGAATGTGCTGGAAGAGTGCACTATTTTATTCATCTGTTAAATGCATTTGGAGGAATAAGTTGGGCCGTGCTCTTCTAGGATAATGGGCAGTAGCATCTCAACGTGATTTTTTAAATTGTATTGTCAAATATCATTGTGCAGATAATAAATAGGACCCACAGTCAGTAAGCATGTGTTCGTATCAATAAAAAAAACCCTGCACAATATGTGATCAATTGGGAAGAGGGTATTAATAAAGTTTACTCTATGTTACTCACAGAATAGCTACAGTAGTACTCAAGTAATGTAAGCCACAGAGGAAAAAGAGATTAGGCAGGGTGCATCCCTGTTATTACCAATTGCACCAATGAGCAGGTTTTCATGCTCGACTCCAGCTAAGCAAATTATTTGCATACAACATCTGGTACATCTATTGATAAACAGGCCTCATAGAACCATACTGCAACATGGAATTATTGTAAGCTTATCTAACAACAGGTGGGAGTCTATTCTTTACATCGTGAATTCTGCATGTTGGATGTGAAATTCTGTAAGTCTTTTATATAAAACTTATGTGGTTGAGTGACACTGGATCTCTGAAATCTAAGTTTTCCAGCTTCCTGGCTTTTAGACACAGCTGAGCTACATTTCTCTGGAAATATTTTCGTTTTGCTTTTGTACTTTAAAGAAATGTTTCATTGCTGTCCGCTCACATAAAATACAGAGTACTCGCTTTATTTTTTTAATAGGTGAAAAGACCCAGTTACGTTGTTAGGATTGAAACAAGGCAGCAAGCAAAACAAAACAAAAAAAGGCCTTGCTAATTTCAAGAAGTACAACAGGAGCATTTGCCAAACGGAAAATAAAATAAAATAAAATAAAATATACCAACCCACGTGAGAAATCCCACCTCCACTGCAAGCAGTGGCAAAATTCCCACTGACTTCAGCAGAGCCAGGATTTCGCCACATAACTCAGAGCTTCCACATGCCTCAGAGCGAAGCAGATTTCCACCTGCTGAGAATCTCATCCAATAGCTACACAGGATCATTTTTATTTTATTTTTGAGCTCTGGGAGAGTTTGCAATGAAAAAGAGAAAAACGAAAGAAAATCCTACGTGAGTAAGCCCTGTGTTTGATGTGCTCTCTTTAAATGTTGCCTGTGAGGTCCTTCAAAATAAATTCCTAACTTGCTTTCTGAGCTACGGACATTGTTTACTTTACAGAACTAACAATGGGCAATAATGACATATCCTTGGATGTGGAAATGCGAAGGCCCTCAAACACTCTTGGGTGGAAACTCTTGGTGCAGAATGACTTTCTCACTGTGACTTTTAGACATGGCAACCACCAGCTTCCCCAGGGCTGGAGCTGGAGCCAACTGGATGTAGGCCTCATTAAAGCTCCCTAGCCCCCTTCTACTAGAAAGATGGCTTAGTGGAGTTTATTGCTCAAAGCTCATTTTTCTAAAGTGTTTTGGCCAAAGAAGAGCTCCGTGTAAGCTCAAAAGCTCATCTCTCTCAGCAGCAGAAGCTGGCCCAGTAACAGACAGTACCTCGGCCAACTTGTCTGGGCAGACAGGACAAGGGTAACTTTCTACATTGTGAATTTGGTACTTATGCGCAGGGACTATTAAACAGGTTCTGAATTTGACTCTACTGGGATGGGTTTATTTCAGATGAGGACAGCAAGTTGCACCCACAGAGGCTGTAAAGATCTGTGGGATCCTTCTATATGAAAGATAGCATATAAATGTAAGTCTTTACAATTATACTTAATATAGTTTTTACTCTTGGGTTATTAAATGTCCTTTCCAGCTTAACATGGAAACCTCAGCATCTCTTTAACTAACAGGTTTCTAGAAAAAAATAAAATAAAAAGAGAGAAAAACTTACCTAGTTTTACTTCGGCATTTTCAGTTAAGAGAACGTTCTGTCCTTTAATATCTCGGTGAATAACGTGATTAGTGTGAAGGTGTGCCAAGCCCTACAAGAAAACAACATTGTTCTAGCGTTTCTCTTTATAGCTTGGGAATTTTTTGTTCTATGAAGTTCTTTTGCTTTCTTCTGGCCATATTAAAGGAGAAAAGGGACTACAATTTACCATCTAAAATTCTTTAGCTGTGATTGGCAGCAACATGTTCATTGACACAGTTTTAGCAATAACAGAAGAAAGCAACCAGGGGCTTGATTTTCTTCTCACTCCAGCATGCCTGACAGCAGGAGAACATCTTTGATGCCAAGAGAAAAGAGAGGCCCCCAAACTGCACATTGCAATTTCAGAAGCGGAGGGATGCCTATTTACAGCATGTATCAAAAGCACACAAAAAAGGAAACTGGATTGTGAACAATAAAGTGTTTGTGCAGCACGCCGAGTGCTGTGCATGGACTGTGCGGAGAACAAGAGACTGGTCGCAAAGGGTTAAATCCTGCATTGAGCCAGATTCCCACGGACTGTAGGGACTGAGGGTCCCATCGCTACCTGAGACTACTTTTAGTTTCAAAATAGTAGTTAAATGAGGCTAGAAATAATGGAATATATTGAACTAATGCAGACAAGAAGCAAAAGGCTCCCCCTCCCCTAACATTTGCCCTCTCTCATAGGAATGGCTAGAAACACAAGGGCCTTCTGACACAATCTAAAGTTTCCTTGCTCCCCATGCCGACACGTCACTCTCCACACATGCTCTTCTTCAGCTTTCCTAGGGAAATGGGTGAAGCGGTTCCCATTTGCCCTGCACTCAGGTGTGCATTTATCATCTTAAGCTGCAGTATTTAAATGTAAAGGGGACTTGTAAAGCCAGATTTTCTAATGGGGATTAGGGATGTAATCCGCTAACCAGCGGGCTGGGTCCAGATCGTCCCGCAGCACAGCTAGGTGGGCCAGGTGCAGCAGGCTGGACCCAGCCCAAGCAGGCCTCCTGCCTCGGTGGGCTCAACCCAGCCTGGCTAGAGCAGCCCGCCACAAGGCAGGCCTGGCCAGGCTGGAGCAGACCCCCACCTTCAGGATCTCGGTGAAGCGGTTAACGTATGCTTATTTGACCGGTTAACTGGTTAAATTGGATTTTACATCCCTTATGGGGATGCAAAGGCTGTGGAAGTACAATGGCATCCAGGTCAACAAATTTACATGGGCATCCCCCGTTCTCCGGGCAACCTGCGTTTGCACAAGAAGCGTCAGCACCTGCCTACATGATGTCTCACAGACACCCATTTGACTGGATGGATGGGAGGCTTTTACATTCAAAATGTGGCCTTCCACAACCCCACATGAAGGCAGTACAGAGATAGCGGAAAAGCAAGGTACCGATAGCAAGCTGAGGGCCTTGACAACAAGATTTCCAAGTGATCGGGGAGCTACCCCACTCCTGGGAAACAGTAATTCCCGAGAAGGGAAGGGAAGGGAAGGGAAGGGAAGGGAAGGGAAGGGAAGATCCCAGTGACTCGTGGATTTGACATTCACTCATAGCTGCAGCGCAGTCTCACATCCAAAAGGGCTATTTGATATTCTACTGAACAGACAACCCTGATCTGCCACTACTCAAACAAGAGACGTCAGACCTTGGAAGCCTTAATGTACTATTTTAACATAGGCTATTTGAAGGGCAGTCCCCATAATAAATGCTTCTCTAACTGTTATTTTGAAAAGCACAAAACTCCACAGCAAGATGTTAGAGCAATGTCTTGCTAATGTAGTTATTAGATGCTTGGATGTTAGAACAACTGGATCTCACATGTTTTTAACCTGGCTTACTGTGTAACCATTGGTACTAGGCTTGCAAAAATCAGTTAGAAATTGGTTTGGGTTCTGTACTCCCCAAGAGAGAAAAATGGCAAAGAATGAAAATTGGGCCCAGGAAGTAACTTGGGACATCCTCTTTTATTGACACTAAAGCCGCGCTGGTGCCATGTTTTACAGTTACTACAGGAAACTTTTCCTTGTCAAGTAGGGGAAAAGAGTCAACATGTTTTTTGTAAAGGGAAATTATGCCTCACAAATCTACTAGAATTCTTTCAGGGTGTCAACAAGCATGTGGACAAGGGAGATCCAGGGGATAATAGTCTACTTTTGCCTTGTCTATATTTACATGGAGATTGATCTTTTGGGGGTTGATTTAGCAGGTCTAGTAAGGACCTGTTTAATTGAATGCTGATGGGGTCCCCATCAATCCTAGTACTGTATATAGT